AGACAATTGACGTTCTTTATGAAAGCGCATAAAATTGCTTATAAAAAATAATTGCGAGCAAATTCAGTATTTGAAAATCGCGAAATATGAGTGTTCCTACAAAACTGAAAGCGATTTTTTAACCGAAAGCTGTTTCAAGTATGAAATGAATTGATTATACGCACGACCGATCGCTGTTCTCAATATTCACCTTTTTTCCAATTGACGTATTTCTTGTGGCTTCCATCTGACCAAACATATTTGCCCTCTTTCTGAACATCGTTTAACCCAATCCATACAAACCACTTATGAATACCTGCAATAATACTTATACGCATCATTCACAGAATTCTACGAATGAGTTCACAAAGCGAAAATTTTGCTCATTGTTGCTTTCCTCAATATTATGCGAATATATTTCAATGGACTTTTTACGAGTACAATTAACAATCTCATGCTCAAATGGATTCTGATCATGTCTGCATTAAAAAACAAATTAGATGCAAAGATAACGTGAAAATTTCTCTCATTCGTCTTGTATCAGTGCTTATCGTTCGAGCTTTGTCATAGCAAAATTTCCTAGCTATGAATCTGAACTGTATGTAACTCGCAGTTGGCTGATCTCAGACAAGTGTACAATAAGCACATANCTAGCTATGAATCTGAACTGTATGTAACTCGCAGTTGGCTGATCTCAGACAAGTGTACAATAAGCACATAGTCATCTGAACAAACGCACTCTCAGATGATAATCATAAACAATACAAAAGGCCAGTTTAATAAATGCATCACATATTCAAATACTACTGAGAGAAAGGGCATCAAGAAGTTGCACAATAAAAATTGTCAAAAATCTCACCTTTGATGAATTTATTTTCATCATAATCCGAAATACTCACCAGATGACCTCCCCATTCTTGACACTTCTCTTCTGCCACATACCACGATTGCAACTCATCAACGTAAACGTACTCGCACTTACCGAATCGATAAACGCGTCTCGATAGAAAACGAATTGTCCTCTGAATTGCTTGTCGTCATTGGCTTTATCAATTTGTGAACTGAATAAACTTAGCGATCCATGCTAAAGTTTCGCTCGAACCTGACTGACTGTTTGAACGAGAAGCATTGAACTAGTCATCTTTGCATAATTCCTACTTGAGCTGCATTATTCATTCGGCCAGCTAGTTTTCACGCATCAAAGAAT